TATGAGATTGACGATCAAAATGTTTTCTGAAAGTTATAAAAATTAGATATTTCAAATCATATTGGAAAATTACCTTCAAGGTTTCCAAAACTATATCTTGCTTGCTTAATCGTACATCTTAAGAGTTTTTTTTCCTGTTATTAACAAAATATTATGGCAGAAAAGAAAGAAATCTCGTCATCTTCATCTAAACTAGTAAAAAATTATGGTGACATCTACTTCAATACCCAAGATACTGAGAGTGCTGTAAAATTCTTTGAAGAACTCAGAATCCTTCCCCTAATACGCCTCTGCACCAAATGCCAAAACCCAATGCGTAAAGCAAAAGATCGTCACCGTCATGATAATCAAAAATGGGCCTGTACCTCAAAAACCGCTTGTGGTTATTCAACTACTTTAAGGTCGGGAACATGGTTAGCTAATTCTAGACTATCTCTAGCTCAAATTGCTAAAATTATGTTTTGTTGGTCTCATAAACTACCTCAAAAATTTGCCGTTGTTGAAGCTGAGGTTAGTGCCCAATCGATGGTTGACTGGTACAATTTTTGTCGCGATGTATGTAGTGTAGTGCTGATGAATCAAGAAAATCAAAAAATTGGTGGTGAAGATAAGATTGTTGAAATTGATGAAAGCAAATTTGGTAAGCGTAAATATAATAAAGGAAAAAGAGTAGAAGGGCAGTGGGTTTTCGGGGGGTTGAAAGAGACTCAGGAAAAATATTTTTAGTATCAGTGCCTAATCGTAAAAAAGAGACATTGTTAAAAATATTAGAAGAATACGTAGAAAAAGGAACCACGATTTATAGTGATTGTTGGTCAGCTTACCAAACGGATGATTTTGAAAAGTACGGATGGAAGCATGGAAAAGTCAACCATTTGGAACACTTCTTGGACCCTGAAACAGGAGTTCATACAAATACAATTGAATCAAATTGGCGTGCAGTAAAATCATCTCTCCCACGATATGGAACAGTAAAAAACTTATATGATACTTATTTTCTAGAATATATGTGGAGACGACGGTTTGCTCCAGATAATAGTAACACATTCAATAAATTAGTAGAACATATAGTATTATATGGCGATAACTTAAAAGAGGTAATTAGTATTTTTAAATAAGCAAATAAAACAGAATCTAAATCCATTCATATATTTACCTTGAAATATTTAGGATACGGATACACCAACATAATAGTATTCTCATATAAGCAATAATACAATTTTACCTTTAAAAAAAAAAAAAAAATCGAATTTGTACCTTATAATATGTTTTAAATAAAATAAATTAAACACTATTGCTGTATAAATAACATATAAGTATGAATAGCCTTTAATAACTTACAAACTGACTGAACGATAAATAGATCTGAAGAAACTTCCTAATTAAAAAAAAAGACATAATTACGCCAACCTAACAATAAAAACTTGAATCAACAATAATGTTAAATGCAACTTAACTAATAAATAAAATGCCTTCGAATAACATCATGTCAACCCATACATTCTAATAGTAGATAACCAATCCAGTGTTTACTGAATTCCGCTTCAGTGTAGTAGAAAAAACTAACAGCAATATATGAGTATAGTATACCGATGATAATATTCCAAGGCGGGTTGCTAATTTCAGGTTGTGAGCGACTTAATAATTGCTAATAAAAAAGTCATAAAGTACAAGCAAGTAATTATTAATACCATGGCTTAAAACATTTCCGTATTAAATAAAAATCAAAGGAATGCAAAAAAAATCGAAACACAAACCTCTTCGTAACTCAAAATTTTGCCTGTGAAACTACCTTTTCGCACTAACAAAAGTTTTCCCTAAGAATTATTAGTACTATAGTATTTGTAAAATTCCTAATCTACTATAATAGTGAAACCTGAACGAAATTCTTTTAACAAAACTGTCGCTTATTAGTTCTTTATAATGTTCGTTACACAAACTAGGTACGTATCATCTGATTTTTGTTTATATTATCCGACCAATCAAAATTACCATGTGATTATACCGAGGGTGACACTTCGTGATCATCACTGGGTCCACAGATCTTGAAACTTCCCTAATATTTTATTAAGCTCTCCCATCAACGGTTACAGTACTTCAGTCAATTTTTTATAGATCTGTAAAATTCAAGTTACCCGATTTTTCTGATCGTTCTGGAGCATTAGTAGTCTCGTAAAGTAAATCACATCAAATCCTCTTATATATATAAATTGAAGGACAAAAAGCAATATATTTATTTATTAATTATCATCTTCAGCTACGTATATTTATAAAGAGGCAGTACGGATGTAAGAGTAATTCGTGAAATCAAGATTTTTATGTAAAATTGTGACTGCTAACATTTAAATAGCGAAATTAATTAATAAAAACTTTACTAAATCTCGTTTTCATTTATTTTTTAATTTAAAAAAATATTTATTAATGCGCTAAGCTAGTTGACTTTATAAAAGAAAAAAAAATATGAAATGGTTGTTACTGAAAACTGTCGAGAATTGTTTCGAGCGTTGCTTTTTGCCAGTGAATGTACATATATGGATGCACGAAAGTTTCAACGGCATGACGGATTTCCTACGACTAAAACTTATACCATTTTTGCGAAAATTAATGTTAACAGTAAAATGTAATAATATTTATTGGACTAAAAATAATTCTTGAGATCATATACAAGTCCAACATAAAAATAGTTTAAATATTACAGGATTAACATTCTTCATAAAAAGGTCTAATGACCCATTACTTTTGCATCAATAAGTTTAACACAGGACATTCAAAAAAAAACAATAATTTCAAGGTGAATAAAAGAGATAATATATCTGACTGAAACTTGAGGACACGTTTCATTCCTAAAGAGTACAATAAAGTATATTCAATATTTAATAGTAGAAAAAAATTCCAAGCGCTATTATTTAAGAGCGAATAATAACATTCTATAATATAAAATTAACATTTGCAAGATCCTTGAGTACAGCTGCAGTTTTCTCCGCAGTTACATTTACTATGCATAGCAAATACAAAAGTTTATTAGTATGAGAATTACTCATAATCGGATCAAAATTCTTTGCAATAGTACCTGGAACCACAATCAGGGTCTGTTTCAAACGTTTTGGACACTTAGTAAGCTTGAGTATAACAAATTGATGTTTAGTTTATTTAATGAGCAGTATAAGAATTTGCGTTTTTTTTTTTAACTTTAAGAAAGATTCTTGGCGAGTGTATTTATATTAAAAAATCGACCGTCGTCTGTAAATAATAATAAATTTAGATCGTTGATCATTGTGTATTGGCAAAAATCCCTCATAATGATAGGCGAAAAATCTCTTATGTTAGGCAAAAAAATCCCTCATTCAATACATTAAGTTACTTATGATTTACATTTGTAATAATAAAATTGGCTTGGTATTACCGTTCGTATATCTAAGCTTGTATAATTGGGGAAAAACTCCCCGTTCAATAATGATGTCATGTGGTTATGTGAACAAAATTTTCATTTTTGAAACTAACTAGAACACACCCGATCCTAATACTGTAAAACCAATTTTATTCTGCCTTACCTTATTACTTTGTAATCTTTTTACGTACTAGTGTTATTAAATAAATGATATGACAAGTGTTGCCGATATTGTAAATATAGTGTCTAAAGGAAGTTAATGAATACTCAGCATACGTGCGTCGTATAGTAAAATAGAAAGTCCTAGCCTTATCGTTAATTTTATAAATTGACTATTCATCGAGAGATAGCGATAGATTAAAAATCGGGTTGACCAATGTAAATGATACAAAGATTTTCTTATTTTCGCGGGTAATACACCCAAAAAAAGGTTGAAAGTAAGCTAAGTACGTACGTACATGATACGTACATGAGGTTGGAAATTTGGGGTAGGGAGTTGATTTGGGAATATGGGGATAAACTATTGCCTTCATTATGTAAAATTTTATTCTCGACATTTTTGATTAGTTTTCAAAGTCGGTTTAAACATTAATTTCAAGTATTTTCGCATTCTTTGCTTTTTTTTCCTCTCGCATGTGTTCTAATTCTGTGTAAGGCTGATCTGGGAATCTGGGAAAATTAAATTTGAACTCGCCTTTGGGAATTTGTATTACTCACAAAAGTAAGTGGATGCAATTTCTACTTTGTGATTTTGGTATGTATCGATATTAATTATTGTTACGATTCGTAGCATGAGAAACTGGATGGTCAATTTGTAATGATTATAGCGATCTGTATTTTGCGGCATCAAATAATCAAGGGAAAACGGTAGGTAAAATAAGGATCATTAAAACAAATTCTAAAATCAATCATTTTGGAACCAATCTCACCATAAGAACTTCAGTTTATTTAAGGTATAAAGTACAATATCAACAATATCAAACGCAATAAACAAAATTGTTAAGAATTGCTTATTGGAGGTACTGCTACGACCAGGGAAGAGACTTTCTTATATCAATACCAATTTAACTCAGAGTCATAAACATTAAAGAAAAAAAACCGAGTATTTATTATCTCTTGCAAGGCACTAAAAGTAACCAAAACCTTTAACTGACCAACCAACTTCCTTATTTCCACTAAACCCAAGAAGTACTACCTAAAATTAGGGATGTTAAATTGCGAATCCGGTCCGGTCCGATCCCAGGATCTATTAGGACCGTACCGGACCTATTATGAAAAACCGTTAATTAATCGATCCCAGGACCGGGTCCTGAATTACAATCCTCAAATAGGTTCATCCAATCAGATTAACAATTGTTCACAAACTTTAATTCTTTTCATCAAAAACAACGACTTTATTGCACATTTTTTTTACATAAAAAAATTTATATAATTTATATATAAACTAATATATAAAAAAACAAAAAATATCAAAAAATATCAAAAAACAAAAAATATATATAAAAAAATATAAAAAAAAACAAAATATATATAAAAAAAAAACGAAAAAAAAAATTTATATAAAAAAAATTATATATAAAAAAAAAAAAATTCTTCCTTATATTTATTAGTGTTAGGTGCTAACCTCTTCACCTGCCTCTTCACTTACCTCTTCATTTAAAATTTCACTTAGTTCAGTATACCAGCTTTTCAAGCACAATGATGCATGTGCCACTTCAGGATTAATACGATTTCAGATGGAAGTGATTGTATATTTTGCAACAGAAAAAGCTTGCTCACTAGCAACACTGGTGGCTTGCACAGCAAGAAAATCCATTGTGATGCAAAAGAGAGTTGGGTATTGTTTGGAATTTGCTTTCCACTAAAGCAATGGTTCAGCTTCAGTCTCAGGTTCGGACAAGTAGATTGTAATTTCACACTGATTCTTGTTAACTCAATGGCAATTCATAAGATTGCAAAAAAGATCACATGTTGATTTAGTAGCAGGTGGTGATAGTAATTTATTTTCTTCAGCTGGTTTATAGTTTTCATACACTTTATAGAGTTTATTAATCACTTGCTCATGTTCATTTACTTCATAGGTTGAGAGCTTATTATGTGAATCAAGAAGGCCTGAAATTGTTGACAATTCATTCAAGAAAACCCAATATGATACAAACTTTGTTTTCATTGTATTGGCTACAGCATGCTGTGTATTAACCTCTGGATGTTCATTATTATTTAAGTGTATAATTAGGCCACAGAATACTATATGAAGGTCACCTTGAGTAGAAAGTGTTGATGAAGATAGCATTATAGTCGCATGATATATAGGTTTAAGAAGTATTAACAGGTCTTGTAATTTATCCTTATTAGAGTTGAGTATTTTAAAAAAAAATTTAAATTAGTATTACTAACAACAATAGTCTTCCATTCTTGATCATTAGAATAATTTGGTCTTAAAGTTTAATTGCTTGCTACAAGAATATTGGTCATAGGGTGGATTCATTGAAGTTTTTCTAACATGCTATTCCACCTCATGTTGATGTTGGTTTTGGGCATTAAAAATGGTATATTTTTTATTTCAAAAATTTTTTTAATTTACGAATAAGTGATGAAGTGTTTCAAAGCTTCATGGAGAACTTCTGTGCCTTGAAAATTTTATTACTAACTGATTTTATTTCTTCTTTGACAATAATGTTGATAACGTGCACACCATAGTGAAAATGCTATATATTTTGGTTACTAAATTTGATACTAATTTTTTCTTTTAGAATACACTCCATCGCAAGCATATTGGCAACATTGTTGATTATAATCTCTAAAAGCTTTTGACCAAAATCTATTTTCTTTAAAATTTCGATGATTGCATTGGCTTGGTTGGTTGTAGTATAGGCTTCGTTAAATAGAATAAGTTGAGTAAGATATAATTCATTTTCTAATCAGAATTTACCCAATATGCAGTTATAGCAATGTATGGTTGTTGATTACAAGAGGTCCATCCATCCATTGTAATTAAGATTTTCAATCCGACTGTATTTAAAAAATTTTTATTTTATTTTTATTTTTAATGTAATCTTAGCTAAACTGGGTTGAGTGTGTCTGTCAACATGGAAGTCTATAACGGGAATTGAGTTCCTTTAAAAAATTATTAAACTCTGCATTTTCTGCTAATAAAAAGAATTGTTGATCAACAACCACTCATTTTAAAAGTTTATTGTTTAAAATGTCTACTTTATATTTGTTGTTTAAGCCATAAGAGTCAAGACGTCGAGATTTACATTGCCAGATTTTAGTAAACTCTGCAGGGTAGAAATTTTGAAAATGCTGATTAATAGTTAATATTGCAGTCAGGCTACCAAATATTTGTTTGTATAGTGTCATGCTGATGACCAACACCCCTTGTATCGGTATTGCTAGGGTTGGGTACGATCACGGGTTACCCAATCGTAACTGGGTAACGATAATGGCGTGATTCAGATTTGCATGAATTGCGTGATCGTCGAATTAGTAGATGCATAAAATTAATTTATAGTCTAATCGTATGTACTGCATAATGCGTGTAACCCGGATAATACTTTATCCGCCGATAATCTTGTATTTAAATATGAGCGATCTAATAATAATAAAGGCAGCGTTTAAGTTTGGCTTTAGTAACGTTCTTATTATAAACTAAGTGGTTGCCCTTGTAGCGTCGAAGTGAAGTGGTGGCAGTGCCTGGTACGATACACCAGCGCCAAGTGAGTGTTCTGTCTAAGTGGAGCGAACGAAGACCCCGTATAACTGAAATTGGCCACGACAGGAGTTTACATGTTTATCATTGAGAAGAAAGATGGCGTGGTTTGAAAATATTTTGTTCATTAAAACTTATGATATACAATAGTATAAAAAAGGCAATTTACAGTTGTCAATGATATGTAAAGAGAAAAATACCTGTAATATAGTTGTATCGCAAGTATAAAAAAGAAAATTCAGCCAAATACGTTATTCATTGAGACCGTGCAAATATTTGGGCGAAAACCGTCTTTACGTTTATCATTAAAAAGGGAAATGGCATGATTTGAAATTATCTAGTTCATTGAGAAATGTAATATATCGTGAGTGTAAGAAAGGAAAGTTACAATTGTCAATGATATGCGGAAGAAAAATATCGTAATATAGTTGTATCGCAAGTACGGAAAAGGAAACTTAGTCAAATATATTAAATATCATTATAAGAAATTAAAATATATTTAAACCCGTCGTTTAACCTTTAATAAATTTTTTTTCAGAATTCAATTCTACAAATAGATAAATACAAAGAGTTAGTAGGCAGTTCAAAACCTAAAACAACTTTCATATAATAATTTGACTTCTCAAATATATCTAACACCTATCTTGCTTAACCACTAATAATCATAAATAAAATCTAAATTGTCTTTTGCTTTTATGTCATCGACCTAAAGGAGCAACTGAAACTATTAATCAAAGTATATCACTTAAATGCAACCGTTATTGACTACCGTGAAATTCTTACCTCTTAAATTATTATTTCTCCTCTATATTTTTATCCATCTGCATTTATCTCACGCATTCTTGTATAAATTAATCTTTCTTATTAAAGCCTTCTAATCGTAAAACTATTAAGGGAAGCGTATCTTTTAATAAACTTTTTTAACATTAAGAAAAATGACATTTGCAAATATTCACATCTCAAAAGGATCAAAAAATATTCATAGGTGGTACGTTCATCCTATTCCTTATGAAATGACAATAAAAGATTTCTTTGTAAAACTTACAACTGGAGAACTATCTTCTGAGTGCAATATTAATGTAATCAATCCCGAAGCAATAGAACGTATCGAGTTAAGTAATTCACCAACCACGGGCGCAACCCAAGTTAGTCCTAACTGTAATATTATAGAAGTTACAGCGAGTATAGGAATATATGTACACTATCACCTTAAAACAGATGACGTTGTAAATTCTAATTTAGCATCACAGAGAAACAGCCTTGCAATCCTAATGCAAAATGCATACCAAACCAGATTATATTTTCCAACTTTTCAACAATCAGAAAATACAAATCGTAAATTTAAATTACGCAATGACATTGTTGATTGGATTCGAAGCCGTGGTGGAGGATGGTCCACTCAATCATATGCTAATACTCAAGGAAAGAATTTTATTGTTAGTCTAAATGAAGCGATTTGGTACATTGATATGCGTGGTCACCAGAAATTTGAAGAGCGTAGCTGTCATATCCCTGAGCTTTTTCTTGAATTTTTTAATCGCGCAAACCCAGAATCATACAAGGAAGCCCGAAAAATTTTTGATGAGAATGAACTAAATTTACATTGTCAAGCACTTGTCCCATATGCTACTTCATCTTGAATGATAAAGAATAATTTTAATTGGCTCCGTGATGCATTTGATGATTTTGTTGTTGCTATTTCAAATTATGTTAAGTTTATGCAACATCAACGTAACATTACGGCTATGAATCACACATCAGAAACTTCTGTATGAAGTGTTAAACAGGCTACAACAATCCAAGTTCATAAATGAAACTTTTGGGTTACACCCGTTGACAAGTCCAAGTATTATGATCTTGGACAGGCGCTCACTAAATTACCATTATGGAAGCCAGTTGATATTGAAGAATTTCTGCCTATTAATCCTGTGTAAGTAATAATAAAAAAATTAAGGTTATTACTTGTTTTTTGCTATTACTAAATCAATAACAACATAAAAATTTTTCCTATGCGAAACTTCGAATAAATATAATTCAACAGTGGTTTAATCAAAAATTAATTTTGTAATCTTGTACAATTCATTTTAAAAAATTGTACAAAAGTTGATTAAGCTTGAATTATTTTTGTTTAAAGATTCATAAAAGTTCATTAAAGAGTATACATTTCTACTAACTCATCCCTATATATTATATTTGAGTATTGTTATTAATATTAAATTTCTAATATAAACTAATAAATATAGACAAAGAATACGTTATATCCAGGGCTTATCTCGCGCATTTTCTTTCAAAATTGGAGAGTATAGATTCAATTCAGGAAATAATGCTTTTAATGCTATATCAATATAGAAAATCAATGAACGAGCTGATGAAGAAAAGACTTTAAGAGAAAATAACAAAATTATAAGTGAGTTACAGGAGGAAGCGCCCCGTTATCATACATGCGCAATGCAGATAAATTACCTATGTACCTGTGATTTGCTTCTTCCAAAGGCCAAATTATCATCGCTACGGACAATCTATAGAATGTTGACAGGTGATATCTCTGCAGCTGAAAATACAAATGAAGCAAAAGTTGATGAATGTGTTAGAATTGCCTTAGACCTCGGTGATCCAGAAATTGCCATCGTTTTACGTAAGCATAATTGCGAAAGACCTAGTAAATATGATGAGTTCTGAAAATTTGCAGCGCAATTTCTTGAAGGTAAAGCTTCTGATGCAGTAACAGCCATAGATGAACGCAGATATGATCCAATCGTACACCTTGCAACTGCAATATCCGTAAACGATCTTCTGCGTCAGATTGAGCATGAATGCCCATTTGGAACACCGATCCCTAGCGCACAATGGTTACGGCTGCAATTTTGGCCTAAAAATCCATCACGGTTTAGTAGCTTGCAATTTACTAGTCGTTTACCCTTAAAATTTATGGTACAAACCTGTCAATTACGTGCATATCATCCAGATGCTTACTATGCATCAGCATTGTTCCGTTACGAGAAAGAATTTGCCGTAAATTTTCGTAAAATTACGAATTTTATCTTTTAGATGATAAATACCACTGTAAAGTTGGAGAACCTGGTTTTCTTGTTGCAGCAATTGAAAGGGGAAAGAAAGTTATAGTCTCTAGAAACACAACATTTAAAGTAGCTGATCATGACTATACTAAAACAGGAATCATACCAAGTGTGATAATAATATGTAATATACCTGAATCGATAAATGGTGATTTTTACGCAGGACAAGTATATATTTAATTAAAAGATCTGATTTTTCAACCTTCCTCACCTCTCTGGCACGCAACAGAATTATCTAATATACTTCTAGTAGAAGATCTATTTGATAATTCTGTAATGTATCTCTATACTGATGGTGGTCCTGATCATCGTTGTACGTTTACCAGTATACAGCTCTCCTATATTTGTCTTTTTCTCGCTATGGACCTTGATTACTTTGTTGCCGTTCGAACTCCACTACAACATTCATGGAAAAATCCAGTTGAACATATCATGTCAATTCTGAACTTAGGGTTATAGAGTGTTGGATTAATGCGAACTAAAATGAATGATAATTCAGAAAAA